TACATTTAGATTTTAGCTTTAAACAGACCATTGAAAGTGTTTTGTCATGTCTGTTTGATAGGTTAAAAAAATAGCTGCTGATCCTGTCAGAAACCAGGAGAGCTGATAATTCAGTGGCAGAACAATTACCATAGTGAACCAGGCGGCCGCTATAGGGCCCGGAGCACAGAGGGGCCCGTCTAGCTGCTGCTCAGTCAGTGACAGCCAGCAGCTGCGGAGGAGGCCATGCGCACTAGCTCCATCTGCTGTACATCTCCTACTGGCAGTCACCAGATGTGACATGCCCAGTCGGAGAGCTCGAAAAGTCGGAGCCTTCGATAGAACACCGGCGTCGGCGGCAATGGAGGAGGTGGGGCCAGGGGATGGAGGAGGTGGGGCCTAGCAACGGAGGAGGAGGGGGAGAGCGATCGGGGCTGACAGGTAAGAGGGTTTGACCAGCCCACCTGAGACCCTGCAGAGCCCACCATATAAAGTATATGGTGGGCTCTGCAGGGTCACTCTCAGGTGGGTTGTTTGGGATATCAGGTAGGCGTAACTAGAAATCACAGGGCCCAATACAAAATGTTGCTATGGGGCCCTGTGATTTCTAGTTACGCCCCTGCATTCAATGCTTACTGCCTGTGCTGACTGTTACAAGCTATTATTGTCCCCAGCTCTGTTTGTGGCCTACAGAACACCTCTTCTTCTTGGCACTTTGAGCTCTGTGCTAAACAATACCAGCACTGAGGTTTTGCATACTGCCCTGTAAGGATGAACGGTGGGCAACGGTGCTGTTGCTGCTGCCTAGAGAAGTCTTGGAAATCAAAACAGCGAACTGAATCCCTCCAGCAAATAGCAGCAAGGTTGCCATTTGCTCCATAAACACCTCCAAATAAAGTGTATGTAAACCCTGTGAACATCTCTTAGTTGCACCTTTTGGCTTGTTAAATATACCATTGAAAGTGTTTTGTTATATCTTTTCGATAAGTGCTGAAAACCCCCCCCAAAACTGTTGATTCTGCCAGAAATCCAGAGAGCGTGTACATTTTTGTTTATTCTGCATCAAAATCTCATGCAGTCTTATCAGCTCTGCCCAGCTCAACTCCATAAACTACAGAAAACGTCGCCCTTATGGTATAAAGATGAGAGGATGAAGGAATCCATAGTTGTTATACACTTCCTGTCCTAGAGTGACAACGCTGCCCCTCCATAGATACAGTGCATTAAAAAAGAACCATAGCCAAACCTTTTTTTAGAGCCAGAGTCAGCTGTGCCCACCCCCTCTCATGTCTGTCCCTCCAATAAACGCTGGAGGAACAGAGAGGGGAGGGAAGAACCCCTTCAGGAGTGATGATTGACAGTCACCGCTCTCTGCAGGGAGAAGCCATGAGCTGAGCGAGCAGCGGTTTGTGATCGCTCAGTTCTCGAGCTATGGCTCCGGCATGTGACACCTGCAGTTTCACACGCTGGCTCAAACTATTGGGAGGAGTACATCTTACACTCCCAATAGTTCTCCTTTATTTCACCCTAGGAAGTATATTGCTGGCAGGATCACCAGGTAAAAAGAGCCTGAAAAAAAAAGAAAACAAATGCAGCCACCACATCTAAGAACAGGTAAGCTGCAATAAATTCAGTTTCTGTTCTTGGGTTTAGATATGCTTCACCATTCTCTACTCCTTTACTAAATCACCTCCATTGCAAGTACAGTAACCTACAACATTCAGACAGAATCTAACTGCAGTTAACAGAAGGTTGATTGACTTCTTGAAGTTAGTGCACTTTGCTAATACTGCTAAAATTGCTAATATTCTTTGCACTGCCTTTGTACCATGTAAGAAGTATTTCCAGTGATATTACTGTAAGGTTAAGACCAAGGTCATGAGAAATTGTCTTTAAGTCCTTTCACCATGTGGCTTTGGTTAGGAATCTGACAATTTATTGTTGCTTAATGTTCCTGTTTGGAGGTAAATAATCAGTGATCCTATAAACTGAAATAAGATATCTTAATAGATTAGCAAAAAGATGAGATATGGTTTGCTTAAAATAAACCTGTGGCCAGACTATTAACAGTCACCTATTTAAATTTTTATGGAAAGCATTAACCTACCCTTAAAACAAGCCCTACCGCACCTAAATAACTACTGGTATTGTGGAGCAATTCAGGCTCAAACTTTACAGCTAGAGTGGCTTGGATTCATTCTGGTTTTTAAGGCTGCCTGCTCGGTCCACTTTAGCCATCCTATCTGTTACACTGCAGCCTTTCCCTCTCATCCTTCTGCTCTCCTGTGATCTACCTGTGGGTTAACATGGTTGCTATTGTAGTGCTCACCCTCGAAGGGCCTTTGGATGAACGGGTCTTCCATAGCCTGTCTAAGGATTTTTAGCAACCTTGCTGCTCCTGTAGCACTTACTCTGTGGTGACCGACAAAGCGAAGTCCAGACTGTAGATAAATGCTGAAAGTCTTTATTGCTGAACCTCAGGGAGAGAGGGTCAAAACCATCCAGGATGATGTACACTCCATTATCAGTTGAACACAGTAACTGCTGCCATTCACAGACTAGGACCTTCAAGCCAGACACAGGAATCTGCGTAAAGAACACCTGGCAAAGCCTTACTTCAGAAGTCATCAGTCATGTTCATTCTCATTATCAGTAGCTGACCACTGAGCCTCAAATTCAGGCCCCAGTGTCAGCATGTGGCTAGTCCACAAGGCTTCAGGCCTAGCCAGTTCAGTCAGCCAGTAGCAGCCTCCCCCCAGGCTGGGCCTGGGGGAGGAAGAGATAGTTTGCATGGTCCACCCCGAATATTTATGTCCTCTCCCAGCATGGCATGCACCACTGGCCTGAATCTTCCAGTGATTGGCCAGGGAGACACAAATACTCAAAACAATCCCTTATTGGTTGCTCTGCTTTGTGGCAAGGATACAGCCAGCAGCAGGCGGATACAAACGACCACAGATTGCTCAGGAAAAAACAAATGAGTATGCACTATAGATCAGCATCAGACTGAATACAATCTGACAATAACTAAATTTAATAGCACCCCTGCTTACAGGGTGCTACACTATCAAAAGGAAAACAGTTCTCTCCTAGGGGAGTCCAACATGGCAGTGTCTGTGGTCCTATAACAGTAACAATAACAGCCCTATGCGGAGTTCACAGAGTTGGAAATCTTCAATGCTATCCTCAATAAACTTTGAAATTGGGGCAGCATTTGATTTTTCCATGATGTGGGCACAAAGATTTGCTTTAAGGCTACCTGGAGAGGTAATGGTCTCAAGAAACATTACATTTTTATGAAAACTATCATTTGTCTAAAGGTGTTTACAGACATAAGAGAGCATTAGCCTAGACTGGACATCTTCTCCCATGCCTTCTGTCCAAACCTACTCAGGAAAATAATCTATCCTAGCCAAGCAGAAGCCTGCAGTGGTAACCCTCTTTATAGGGAACAAACAAAAGTACAGTATTTTTTAGGAGAATATAGTTACTGTTTATGAAATAGTTTTTCATATGAAAGCATGTCTGGTCAGCACTGTCTTTTGTCTGTGGATAGCCTCATAGCATCACAGCTTCTTGATGGGTTTTTTCAGCCTGGCCGATAAAATTGGAACATGCCACCCATATTAATTATTGTAGAGATATTATAATTCTGGTATTGTTTGCCAGAAAGGGTGATAACTTTAGTCACAGCCTACGTTTCATTACTTGCAAGGCTTCTGGGAGTATCTTGCTTGGCTTAGGTTGAATACCTTTATCCCCTTTATTAAAACTGCCACGACTTTCATCGATTTCTTTAACTACACCAAACGTAGCAGCTAATAAGGAGTCTACCATTACATATACATCAGTAAATTCTGCAACAACACATTCTCTGGTTCCACAGCAAAAACAAAAAAGAGGAGAGACAGGAAGGACATTCAAGGTTGCAAACCATTATGGCCAATACTTTTTGCTATAGTGGAGCGCCACTGATCTCTTCAAGAAAAATCATTAAACCTTAGGTACAAAGCTTTCTTCTATAACCATGTTGATCCGTACATAAGTAACAGAATATATCTTATAATAAAGCTTCGTGGGCAGTTTTAGATGTGAATTACTTTAATATATCACTTTGCATAGGAACTGATAATTAGCAATAAATACAAGGCTGGTTCAGGTCCACCTGTTTTAAAGTGCTCTGTTGGATGTTGGAAAATGGCTAACCACTGAGGGAATGTGTGAAAGCTATTAAATGAGGAAAAAATGTTTGAGAAAAAGAGAGAATGCAATGAGAAAGTGTGTGGGTGGAAGAAAGATCAAAAGAGGAGATCCTTAGTGTCTCATTTCTTAAGAACATTTTTTATATGTTCTATGTTATGGCTTTATGGTCTCTTTACAGCTCTGGCCTGTAACCTGGATACCATCTCCAGTGTATTGGGCAGAGGCAGAAGTGCTTGCTTAAAACATTCGCTGGGGCCTGGAGAACGAAGGTTCTTACAGACATATCTTAAAGTGAACCAAACCTGGCTTAAAACGATTCTAAGGTAACAAAAAATGCTGAAGGTTAGATACCTTGTGGTGCCTGCATGTACCTGTGATAATCTTCAAATTAATCCCTGAGTCTCTGCAGAGCCTATTGGGTACACGGCTCAGGCTGTACAAAGAGCCCGAGTTGAAATTAGACCCACCCACATTATTAAACTATTACCAACATTAGTGGGCAGTGTGTGGCTGTGGCACTGGAAAGTTGAATGTTTAGTGTTTGCAGTTAGCACCAGGAGGAGCAGGGCTAAAACTGCTTTACAGAGCTGAATGTGAAGATGATTATACATACTTGCAGCACTGCTATTACTTTAGATCTGGTCAGGTTAATTTTAAACGTCAGTATTATCAAATGTCGTTCATATACCATACGGTCTGCATTTACCTGTATATGGTAAACAAAAGCTGCATTTCACACACAGTGCAGGACAGTGCATTGCATTTTACCATGCACAGTCTACATGGACCACGTTTCCTGTGCATGCTCAGAATGTGCATAGAGTCTTTTACCATAAAGGTACAATTAGGCCTTTTGCAAGTTTGTACATGATTTGTGGTACCAGGTTGCTTGTGAATTAAGGAGTGACCGTAAAGACTATTTCAAGGGCTCTAATGAGGGCCCCTTTAGCAAATAATTAACAGAAAGTGTGGAGTAACGAAGTGACCAGTCAACTCTAGACTGTAGCTCTCTGCTGTTGTGAGCTACTATTTTGCATTTTTGGTAAAGACTTAAAGTCCCCTCCCTTGAAGGCAGTTGAAGCAGAATATGAAGCTGGCCATACAAAGGTTATTTAATCATTCAAACAAACAGACCATTTTGTGATCCTTGCATTACCTGACATGCTTATGCACTATTAAGTGTCTATGAAGCAGTACTACATATGCCAACCTCTGTGCAAGCAGAAATAAATAGTGAATTTGTAAAACAAAAAAAATAATGAAACCATCACATGCCCTGCAACCATGACATCCAGCCTCTGAATGTCCTCTGTGAGTTTTCACATCACACAGGGTAAGATAGCTTCACAAATGCATCAAATTGTTTGTATTGTGCAGCAAACTCTTCCTGTGTATAATCAGCCTATAGCCTGAAAAATCTTTTACAAAGCCATCTCTTTTCCCCCAAAATATACATGTAAGGCTCACAACTGGGAATTTAACATAACCCATCTGAAACAGTTGGGCTTAATAGTGTTGGCCTTGTTTATGAGCCCTGGGTTTTTGGAGTACATGAGGAGTTAGTTGCATTTACACATATGCAAGACCCTTACATGAATACATGATGGTTTGAGTAATTAGTGCAGATCAATACACATTGCCAGGTGCCTGTTACAGGCAGTAGGGCCAGTTAGTCTATATCCCCATAAGGTCAGGTACATGGGGAAGTCATCTGTTCCGGTCACAAGATATGGCCACCATGAGGGTGCCAAGGACAGCTAGCTCTCCTTAGGACTATTTCTCAGGTTTCTGAGCCCCAGTTCAAGCTGTCGGATGTGGAGGTCTCTCTGAGCCAGCTGCTCCTTCAGACGTCGGATCTCATCCTGCTGCCGGTAGAACATGCGCAGCAGCTGCAGGGCAAAGGTAAGAGGGCAAGTGAAGGTCATAGTATAAGCATACGGCAATACAAGCATATGCAGAGTGAACATTGTGTTTAGTAGACATCACTTTGTGTTAAATGGTGCTTTACGTAACAGAGAATTATTTGTGTGCCTATAAGAATTTTATGTTAAAAGTTGATTTGCATTGTGTATGTGCTCAGTCTTGGGTGTCCTTGGCATGCAGAACAGAAGGTGTCATTGGCACCAAAAACAGAAGAACAAAGTAGCCCTCACAGATGTACAGAGTCTATATTTCATAAAGACACAATGTTACATGTACAGTACATACCCATGCAACCAAGCTCCATTCTAACTGATGTAAGGCCATTTATGAAGCACAAGAAATACACTATTTCTTGTTACAACACTTCAAAGAGACTCTGTAATGAAAGATCCGGACAGGTATAAAGTAAAAAAGCTTCCTAATAGTGCTAAAGCTTGCCCATCCCCAAGTCTCCCTCATCTTCCTATTAAATATTGAGGAAGCCCATCATATTGCTGGACCAATAGAACCCCACCAAGAAGTGTCTGAACTTTGTGACATCATCAGCCCAGCATTCGGGTGAAGCAGAGGATAGAGAACTCTGCTAGAGGTATGGAAGCCTGCATTTCAGCTGTTTTCAGCATTAATAAATGTCAGGCACAGGCACGCCAAATTCAGATTTTGACAGGAGCCTGCAGGTAGAAGAACCCTGGGAATCAGGTAAGTGTAGGAGGATCAGGATGGGGTTTGGGGGTTTTGACCACCTTTCAGGTTACACCCTGAATATTGGTGTAACATGAAACATGGTCCAAGAAGTAAATTTAGCCTTTAAAGTAACAGAGTCTCTTTAAATATTGCGAGATCAATCATTTATAACAGACTTTTGTTCATAAAGAACCTCTGTCCAGTCTGGCTACTTTGGACTTTTGCAAATAACGTGTGTGAATTGTGTAATATTAGGTGCACAGAAATGTACTGAGCTGTGTCAGGCAACGAGGGTCAATCTGATATCTATACTCACTTCATTTTCAGTGCGTGGTGGCACATTCTCTAGTAAATCAATGCCATTTACCACCATACTCTTCTTGTCTCTCACTGGTGCTTTAAATGTAGCATTTGACTCCTTCCGGTACCCTTCCTTCAGGCTCATCAGAATGGGGTCTAGAGAAGAAAATTTGATTATTCATTAAGGATTTATACAAAGGCATTGTTGTTGAGAAAAGACAAACATCTATCGTCAAACAGCTGGCTGCAGGGTAGCACTCAGTGACTGGCATTTTTTGGTCCTTTGGACAAGGGAGGCAGTGAAAAGAGACATTGATGAACAACCTTGCCTTTATTTCATTGCCCTGCACTCTGTGTATGCTAGAGCTGTAGGTCCAACAAAAGATACATTAACTGAACTTTAAAGTGGACCTTGCACTAAAATTCAAGGCCTGCACATGTGGCTGCTCCCACCTATCCTGAGTCCAAGAATCTCTGAACAAAACCTATACTAATATTACCGCCTTATATCAAAATAAGTGGGCAGAAGATCTGGGGTCCACTATCACTGACAATGACTGGACAGACATCTGGCAGATTACTGCCAAAAGATTCAAGAACATTCTTGCCCAAGAAAACTCATAGAAAATACTATTACGATGGTATTACACCCCTGCCCACTTCTCTAAAACTATATCAACTTACCCCCGAACTGTTTCAGTGGCTGCACTCAGCTGGGCTCCATGGCTCATATATGGCAGGAGTGCCCCAAGGTTAAGAAACCTTGGGTCTGAGTGTATGCTTTAACTACCTCAGTGATGTTTTGTAATCTTGTCAAAAACTCAATGGAAAGCTCTACTGTATAAACCTACCCCAAACCTCAGGAAACACCAACAAATCCTGATCACTCACATGTTCACAGCCACCAAACAGACCATAGCAAGGTCATGGAAGACCTTGTGAAGAATAGAATCTTGGGCACCATGGTCAATGCTAAGCTATCTGCTATTTTGCCCGATTTCACAACAAGTTCTTGAATCCCACCGGAGTTTTGATGCCTCTCTCACAACTTCCTATACGACCCTTCTTATGGTTAGGTGGCCATGCCTTCCTCAAACTTACCTTATCCTAGCCTTATCCTTATGCTGCTTAATGTGGATGGGAAAATCTGGATTTTTTTCTTGTTCAATCCCATGGGGAAAAATAACCTCCTAGTGTATAGTCAGCTCTACCATCCCAGGGAAAATGGTTTTACCATAAAGCAAGCGAGGGAAAGATTGTAACAGAGGCAAACGCAAGAATAAAGTAGGGGTGTGCAGAGGGTAGGGGAGCACATTATTGATCGAATAAACTGTTTTCATGTTGTGTCTTTAACTTGTGCTCCCAACCTTACCATAAATCCACATCGTTTACCTTTGTTGATGCCACTTAGCCATTCCTTAGCACTCACAGCTGGCTCAAAACTCGGGGTCATAGGATAAATGTCCTCCTGGTAGGTTTCTGACTGCAACAAAGAAAACTTGTGTTATCTTTTAAGTACTTTTCCAAACTCCAGCTACCCAAAGGTTCCAGAGCAATGTGCTATGCAGGTATGAGTGTACAAAGGCTCACCTTTCTTGGAACTATCATAGATATTGGCTCTATGAGATTCTTTAAGGTGATCAGCTTGTAAAAGCGAAATATCTCACATGCTGATACATCCAACCCATGCTTTGGCATTATTCCTATGGAAAACATTACAGTGCATTGTGATCAGAGAATCAAAACTTATGGAATAGGATAAAAGTCCCTACTTGTCACGTTTTTGAACTTCTGGGCAACTTACTCTCCCAGCTTTTGATTTAAAGCTAAACTCCAGACAAACAGATGAATAGATAAATATACAGAAGAGATACATATATGAGAGCTGTTTTACCTGTCAAAGGATATGTTTTTATGTCTATCCAGTCCAAAGGTTTACACAGCTTTGCCATATAGCACATCCCTGTCTAGCAAGGGGGGAGGTCTGATTTTTTTTTCTCCATTGCAGTTAAATAATATTTAAAGCTTATATTTCACTCCCAGCCTGTGAGTAGATAGTGAAAGGTGAAGCAACACACCGAAGAGCCTATCTCTCTATCACTCTGCTCTCTCTTCCTATCAGCATGCTTCTTGTTAGCACAAGTCAAAACTCTAATGTACAGGGGGCTGCAAGAGGCTGGCCAGGGCAAATCTTGGTACCTACACTGCTTGCATTTAAACAAAATAAATTCAATAAAGTATTAATGAATAGCTGCATTCATTTATGTATTTGCTATCTGTTGTGCTCTAATCCATACAACCCAAGTGCAGTGACGTGCGGTACCTTCCGTGCTGGGTGAGGCTTTCCCTCAGCCCCACCCCCACCCCGCCCAAGCCCACCAAAGCCCCGCCCCATCCAGTTGAAGCCCCCCACCCGGTCACCAAGCTAGTGTGAAGGAGAGAGGGAGGAGCCTCCCTGTCCCTCACATGCTCATCACTAGTAAGGCATCGAGATTTATGTCGTCAGTGGGTTTTCTTTTTTTTTATTGGACAGCTTGGACCAATGCTGCTTTTCCATGCACAGAGCTCAAGTATCAAACATGGAGTAGAGGCTGTGACAGCTCTTGCCTAACTAGTTAGGTTACACAAGCAGCCGGATGCAGCGCTGCCTGTAATTAACAAGCAGCACTCCGTCCATGACAGGTTACACAGCGGGGAGACTTTCCCTGCTCTATAACCTGTTACAAGCCGGTCCGAATGGAGAAAAAGCTGTCAGCTTCAGACTTGAAGCTGACAGCTTTCCCCTCCATAATACTAGGTGAGACTCTGCCTCACCTGCCTCACCCTGACCGCACATCTCTGCCAGGCAGGGGGCACCTATTAAGAGCTTATTGAAAATACTCATAAAAAAATAATTTTGTATTGGTTGTCATCAGTTACAGTTCATATTTCAGTTGCATATTTTTTGCAAAATCTTATCAGACGTGACTCGTTTTTTAATCCTATTGAACATTCGTGGTTGTTGCTGCTTCTATATGTACTTTGTATGCTTATTGAATAAGATATTGTATGAAACTATAAACTAATGTATAACTGAGGACTATTCAGAGGAGTCATGTGATGTTATGCACCATTAACATTTTCTTGTGGCTCCCTCCAGCAGCAGATCGCATGAGTCTCTGGGAGAATTTTGCAAGACTCATGCAATCTCATGCTATCACACGGGTGTGCATGGGTCATCACATTCATTTAGAGTGGGGTTTTGTAGTTCAAAACTGAATTTTTAACTCCTTACCAAGTCCTTTCTGGGGAATGGCTGACCGGAATTCCATGAGATAGGTCAGGAATGGCTTTTCCGCTGTTATTTCATAATATCGGATGTTTCCGTCTCCCTAACATAGTAGAAATAAATTAAGAAATCCAAAACAATTCAAAAGTACAGCAAATAATTAGGGATAAGTATTTCGTTTATATGTCTCAAAATTATTCATTAAAAAAAAATTTCATGATTTTAAATTAAAATGTTGAATGATCATAAAACAAAAACTTTTTTTGGGTAAGAACAATTTATCTATCATCCATCTATCTATCTATCCATCTATCTATCTATCTATCTATCTATCTATCTATCTATCTATCTATCTATCTATCTATCTAGATAGATACAGTATATATACTGTACATCTAAATGTGATTAAAGAAGAAGTCTCATCTGTCAAAGTCTCACTGACTTTGACATCTCACTCCTCTTCATTCCCAACCACACTCTGCAAAGGAGACAGACTCTGGAAAGTGCAGGGGCAGTGAGATAAGAACTATCAAGCAAGGGTCCATCTCCTTTGCAGAGCCTAGTCGGGAATAGAGAGCGGTGAACTGTCAAAGTCTGGATCTCAGTTTCTACTGCACACAGAAGCATGGGATAAAAAGCAACATACACTGTGGGAGTTAGGTGACTTAGCCATGAAAATAAATAAAAGGTGAGACTTCTTATGTAAGACTGAGATATAGTTCTAGACTTCTAGTGTAAGAAGGAGACACAGCTAACATCCTGGCTACTGATCCTTGAAACTGCAGTGAACAATTTTGTATCATGGGTGATAAGTAGGAATAATGCAGAAAAGTGGGCAAACAGAAAGGAGTACCCATACCTTTCCAGCCAGGTACAGCATGTGTGTGTCCATATCATAGAAAGGAAACAGCATCCCTGACAGCCCATCTATCTCTTCTTCTATCAGCGGCACTGACAAATCCTCCTGTGGACAGAGGTCACAATATATATTATTTATACATATCTGTAAAGTAAATTTTCATTTCTATTCATTTATTATGGTGCTAATAAATTCAATATTGGTCTTTTATATAACACATTATTTTATTAAAAGGACTAGGGAAGTTGAGTCATATGGCAGGCACCAATTGTTTGCCTTCCTAATTCCGTCTTGTATTAATGTACACTGACACATGTGGTCACTATATAAATAACGGCATCTCTAGTGATCACAATTTAGCTAGCGATGAATGCTGCCATAAGGTAACAGCCCTGTTGCTTAACTGTACAACAGCATTTTTTTATTCAAGTCCTCATGCAGATTGAATAGTTTAGATAGTATTATTGTATATTATAAAGTTTTGGTAAATATAAACTTGATTGTACAAAGATTGTTCGGTCAGATTGC